TGTCTCGCTCTCAAATAAATAAATAAAATCTTTAAAAAAAAATAAAAAATAAATAAAATAAAATTTAAGAAAGAATAAGAACAAAAAGTAAAAATAAATTCAAAAATAGATCATTCAGTTTTGGCCACTGAACACCCTACGGGCTCATCTGAATTTTTAAATGTTACTCTTTTTTTTAAAGATTTTATTTATTTATTTGACAGACCACAAGAGAGGGAACACAAGCAGGGGGAGTGACAGAGGGAGAAGCAGGCTTCCTGCTGAGCAGGAAGTGGGACGTGGGGCTTGAACCCAGAACCCTGGGATCATGACTTGAGCCGAAGGTAGACACTTAACCAACTGAGCCACCCTGGTGCCCCTTAAATATTACTTTTGAACCAAAATACATTCTAGGAGTTTAAAAATACTTTTAAAATAAAAAGTAACAGAACCTCGATACCATCCCTGACCCCTTCTGCCCGTTCTCATCTTCATTCCCACCACCAATTTGTTTGTCTCTCTGGAATTCATTTATACAAATAGAAGCTAACAAGAATATATCCCAACCTACCTTATTTCTACAGAAAAAGTGGCAGAGTGCCATTATGGACAGTTTTAGGGAGTGAATCTTTCTCTCCACTGCCTCAGGCCACCACTGCCAGCAAGCCCAAGGCTGGAGAGCCAATCAATAAGCACTTGTTAGGGGAGGGAAAAGCCAGACTGAATGGACAAGTTGATCTCTGGGGCCAGTCCAGGGTGCGAGAAGCAAGTGCTTGCAGACAGACATCTGTGCATAGGCATCAGTAGCGAGGCGGTCCCGTCCACCCGGTATGGCAGGTGTCGGAAACAGGTGCATCCTGGCTCCTGAGGAGACGCCAGACGCTTCCAGGGGCAGCAATGGCCTCACCCTTGGCAGCTTCCTTGGTGGCCAATACCAGCACCTGTCTCCTGGGTCACCAAAGACACAGCACCCCCAGGATGAAGGGGGCAGAGGACTTTGCTGCTCTGTTAAAACAAAGTCACGTGCAGAGAATTTAAGCACAAAGAAACGGGAGGATACTCCTCTTCGGCTGCTCTGGCCTCACACCGCTTGGCGGATCATTCTAGAAACCTTGCAGGTGACTCTGCCCCATCCAGCCCATGACCTGCCAGGACTTCTGGGGAAGCGCTTGTAAATGGGCCGGACCTATCTGAAAGGGAGCTCTGGGCCAGGGGCTGGAGAAGGGCTCTCTCGGGGCCAGTCCTGGCTTGCCTCCAGACAGCGCAAACATGCTGTTGGGGAAGGGGGTGTGCACACTGCCAAGAAAGTGAACTCATATTTTTGGGAAGTATTAATTTGCTTCAGTTAGAAATTCAGGCCAGCTCTGAGCAAACAGAAGTAGGTGAACTTGTTTTCCGAACCTCTGCTTTGTCCTTTCTGGGCCCCTCCACCTTTGTGCAGGCCTGTCACTGAGGGCCGTCTACCCTAGCCAGCATTTCCCAACTGGCCGGTTCCAAGACGCGCACTGCTTCAACCAGACCAGGGTCCTGCTGCGGGAGAGGAAGAGAGAAGGAGAGACCATCTGGTTCCACGACGTGGGAGAAGCTTTGTCTCTGGGGCCTCAGCACCAGCCTTCTTGGTCCGGGTCATTTCCATACACAGGGCTCTTTCCTTAAACTTTCCTTAAGCTCTAGGTCTTGTGACCAAAACACTGTAAGAAACACCTGGGAAAATGAGATGCTTTAAACAATGCACGGGCCCTAAGAAGGGCTCACTGAGCCATAGCTATTGCGTCATTACCGTCCTCGTTACCTAGAGGTGTGCCTCTATAAATCTTCCAGGGAGCTTTCAGGGCTGCCCTCACCGTCCCCTCTCAGCAGTCCTGGCCCAGAGAAGGTAGTTGCTCTCCTGGGAGTAGTTTATGAGCCTCCTGCCCTGACATATGCTCTAATGGGCTCTGCAGTAGGACCCGTGTCCTATTAATCTCTGTCAACTGAAGGAATAAATAAACTCACCCATTCAGTGTACTTATGAATAAGTAACAGACATGTTTCAAGACAGGAACGATGCTGACACGAGGGTCAGAGAAGGCAGCGCTGGGGGCTCCTAGACGGTCCAGTCGGTTAAGCGTCTTCTTGCTCAGGTCATGTTCAGGCTCCTGGGATTGAGCCCCACAGCGGGCTCCCCACTTAGCATGGAGTCTGCATGTCCCTCTCCTTCTGGCCCTCCCCCAAGTCATGCACTCATTCTTTCTCTCAAATAAAATCAAAAGGAAGGACTGAAAGGAGGGAAGTAGAAAGGGAGGAAGGGGAGGCAGGAACTAAGGAGTGAGCTCTAACCAATATCGAAGGCTTCTACCTCCTAGGGTCCCGCATTTCCTTCCCCTCCTCAGGACCCAGGGGCTTCTCCACTGTACTTTTGCTCTTACAGGGAAGGAGGCTGAGTGACTGTCCTCGCGTGCACTGATTAGTTCCCCAACAATTTCGTCTTCTGGGGCACCAGGGTTTGCAGAGGGCTGGCTGGGTCAAGGGTGGAATTGGGCCCCAGGAGCCCAATACAGTCTTCTCTAGCCTACAAAACACCCCAACCCCAGGCTCCACCTTGGACTTCTTCAAAACAGCTTTCAGTGAGGCCTGACCAAGTTTTCAGAGCACATCCCTCCCCATGAACCCTAAGTCAAAGGCCTTCTAGTGGGGGAGAAAGGAGCAACCCCCAGTCCACCATAAAGAAACCATACCCTCTCCTGCTCTCTAGGTCCACACCTTCCAGACCCTCCTATGTTGACCTTGCAATGGTAATAGACAGAAATCTCAGAGAGAGGGCAGTCCTCTAAACTCAGGTATGCAAAAATGACCTTTTTCTTGGTAACTTTATCTTTGTAACGAGCCCTCATTTCCAACCAACAGAGAAGTTGGTCCAATATCATTCAAGTCAACTCAGCCTCATCGGTGATTTCAATTCCATCCACTCCAGTCTAACTTGCTCACATCCCGTTTGGGGGCTGGGCTTACACCATCCTCCTGCTGCGTTCCTGCAACAACTGGCTGCCTGCTCTCCCCTGACGTCCTTGCACCCCAGTCACCTACAGGATCCTCTGGACCCCCTCCCTTTTCCATTCAAGACAAATCTGGGCAATTAACCTGCCAAGTGCTTCCAAAACGCCGCTCCATGTGCTCTGGTGGCGTAGGGAGCACCTGACAGGTCACTGTCCTCTGTAATTCCAAACACGGAGCTAGGCCCAGGGCCCCTCCACCCTGAGAGCCCCAGTGTAAAGGGGAATTGTTCCTACACTGCTCCTAATGCCCTTCTCTAAAAACTCTCCCCTCTCTCCCATTGCAGAGCTCTTGATATCCTTCTATGGTCCCTTTCAAACCTCTTCCTACTGCTTAGCTCTCTGACTTAACGCCTCAAGATTGGCATCTTTTTCTCTACAGTTCAGCAGGAAGGGGTGAAAATCACCCATGAATGAATAGGTCACCTAACATCTCACTGCTTCAGATACGTACAGTCCACCCGGCTGGCCCGTCCTGGACAAGTGGAGGATTGTGTAGGGCTGAGTGGATCGGGCTCCCTCTCTGTGAGTGGGGCTGGGCACACAGGCCCAACAGAGGGGAGGCAGGGAGGCTCCGTGGTTTGTAGACCGCCCTGGCTGTGAAGTCACAGGAGCCTGGACACAGCAGGGCTCCTCCCTTCACTGATGTGACCTTAAACGCATTGTTTAACTCCTCTAAGCCTATTTCCTGTAACAAGATGTCACCCCTTTCCCAGGAACCCCCATGAGTAGCAGAGACCATCACTAGACACCCGGCTCAGTGGCCTCCGTATTAAGTGCTCAGTAGAGAAGAGCCACTCCAAAACCACCCAGCAGACTCAAACAGAGCCCACCCTCCGCATACAAGGGCGGCCTGACGAGCCTCCAAGGCTCCTTGCCCAAGCCTTCCTCCCAAGGCCTCTCTACACAAACATGCAGGCACCACTCCAGCCACATTCATTTTCAGGAGCAAAAATCAAATCCCAAGTCAGATCAGCTCACGTCAAAGTGGGGATTTATGCAGTTAGGACCCTTTCCGTGGCGCATTATTTGATTCAATTAGCCTAGGCCAACAAAAGAGAGAGGGAGAAGGAAAAGAAACAGGAGGGGGTCTCCTTTAGTTCACATGACCTGAAGTCCCAGGGGCGCCTGCCTGCAGGCACAGCTGGATCCAAGAACTCCAAAGACACCTCCAGGACCTGGCCTGTGTGCCCCTGATCTCTCGGCTCTGCCTCTCTCTGCACGGCTCCGCTCTCAGGAAAAGCTCTCCCCGCCCCAACCCCTCCCAAGGCCGGCAGCTCTGGGCTCACCCTCTCAGCACCCCTCACAGGGAAAGTATACCTCTCTCGGGTGCTCCAGCAACCAAACTGAGTCACGTGAGCACCCCTGAATGGATCACTGTGGCAGCAGGGACAGAGGTGACAGCATGCGGTCCACCCGACCAGGCCTCTGGGATGCACGAGGCAGGGCTGAGAGGAGGCGACTACTCCCTCCACAGCCCAAAGTCCACACACCTACTCCCCAGACACCCCCCCATACTGAGTGCCCACTGCCAGTGGCGGAGATCCTCATTAGAGCCCCACTGGAATGAGAAAGCGAGAACCCAGCTGGCCCAGCCGTTTATTCCGCAGTGATTCCCACGTCAGGTCCCCTTAACAGGCATGGCTGGCTGAGGCCTGGTGCCCATGGTTCAGGGATCCCACTTGCTCCCATCGCCTGGGGTAGAGGGGGTCTGGAGATGCGGGCTCGCGGGACTGACAAGGCTTGGGCTATCCACTGAGGGAGAGCTGTGGGCGGGGCGGTTTCTGTGAGAAGCGGAGAAGAGCAGACCGCCTGAGTGACACACGAAACACACCCGTGGCATCTGGAAGGGAAACCATTTTATTGATACCTGAGAAAAAGTGCAGGAGAAACATTCCTACTGTCCATGTAGCCTGTCTCCTTGGGCTAGACCAGGCCAGGCGACTTCTCTCACCGCGTCTTGCACCGTGGGCCGTCTGGGGCCTCGCTGATGAGCGCCCACGGCTGCAGAAGTTGGCAGCCAGACTCGGGACAGAGAGCTTCGGCGGCCATGGCTCCGAGGCCGGGGCGGGCTCAGCAGGGAAGCCTCACCGATCAAGATCCAGAGTCTCTTGGGTCACTGTCCGGAGTCCGATGGAAAACAGCTCCTCCCAGGGCTCCCGGATCCAGGCCAGCAGGGCCGTCAGCTGCTCTGGACACACAACACGAAGGGCCCAAAAACTCTCCAGCCGGGACACCTGGAGAGCAAGTGATAGTGAGGGGAGACTCGTGGAGGATCTGCTGCCCCTCCCTGCCCCAAGGCCTGCCTCCTGCTCCAGGCCTGTGTCTTCCACAGAAGACCCAGACTTCGAGCTTTTTAAGCAGAACACTTACTGAAGGCCCCCACACAGAGGCTTCCATGTGTACGGTCTTGTTTCTTTAACTCACCCTGTTTTCCAGAACGTAAGGTCTGGACTCAACTCCAAGAAACTGGTTGGAGTTCGATTCCTGCATCAACCACTTGTGACCCAGGCAAACTGGTTAATGCCCCCAAGCCTCAGTTTCCCCATCTGTAACAGGCCTAACGACAGAACCTCGTCCCACAGAGTCTGGGAAGAGCAAAGAGCCGGCACCTGGGGCCCCTTCACACGCGAACGCCAAGCAGCAGCTGGTGCGTTACTGAAGGCCTCCCGCTGACACAAGCTGGGCTCCAGGTCCTCGGGCTTCCACTGCCCACAGCAGCTGCCCTCTCTGCCTGCTGCTCCTCCAAACCCAGCGAGCCCCCCAGCTCCTCACCCCACTTCTTAGTGTGCCCTCCACCACAACTGCCCATCGCAATTCCACCCCAGCCCCCGCCTCTCCCTCTCCCTCTCTCATGTGCACGCACACACCTCATCGTAGAAGACCAGCCGCAGGTCCCCTGGGGCGCTGCGATAGAGCAGCACGGAGCTCAAGCTGCTGAGGGGCCACTGCTCCCTGACACACACAGAGGGGCCTGGCCCCGAAGGCAGGGAAGTCTCAGAGGCTTCACCAGATGCTGCTGGAAGAGCGGGCCCCGCCGGAGAGCCTGCAAGGTCTTCCTCTAACAGGTACAGGGTGGACAGAGTCATCAACAGGGACACAGGGCAGGTGGCAGGGCCTGGAGGGAAAGAGACAGGGTGAGACCCAGAGTGGAAAGCCACAGAGGAGCCCAGATCCCCAGGGCGGCCTCCTGGTTCCACTCGAGAGGGATGAACCACATCATGCCAAGGTGCTCACGGAGCAGCCCCTGGAGGCCAGCTCTCCTTTTTTTCCAACTCCTGGCATCTCTAGACTCCAAAACCCCTGAGGCCAAAGGAAGAAGGAACCTGCCCCACACCCAGCCCGCCGAGAAAATCCGTGCTCTCCTCTGACAGGATGAGCAGATCCAGCCCATCTGCTCCACCTCAAAGAAAGCCTAACCTCTAAGCAAAGGTCTCTGAGGGCTCAGGAAACCTGTCACCCCACTCAGAGAGGCCAGAAGACCGAGGCTGTCATTTGGGTGTGCCTGTGAAAGAAGTCCCGATTCCAGAAACTGAAAATGCTACAAGGGCACAGAGGCACAATGCGGGCGCCTATCCAGGGGCCTGAGGCAAGACAGAAGACAGAAGCCTCACCTTCCACCAGGAACACCCGAAGGTAGAAGAACAGGGGAGGCTCCGAGGAAGGGTCTCTCTCCAGCAACGGCCTGAGAGGAAGGAGTGGTCAGCCCAGGGGTAGGAAATACTGAGAGAAGCAGGGAGGACGAACCCAGGCGGGGTCAGGAGGTGTGAGCATGACCACAGGCTGGCCCAGAGGCTCAGGGCCCAACCCTAGTGGGTGCTTGTGGAGGGGGCCCTGGCTCCTGGAGCGGCTGTCTAGGCACCAACCGCGGCCTCAATCTCCTATCCACTCACCAGAGGCGGTGCTTCGGGGTCACCTCCTCCTCCGTGGCATGGACACTGCTCCTCCAGCTAGGGGGCAGAGCCTGTAAGACACCTGGACGGAGCCAGCCAGGGACAGGGAACCTCAGACTCCAGCTCTTCCATCCCAACCTCTCCACCTCTCAAGACCTTCCTAATTTCAACTTCTAGATTCCAGAAAACTCTATAGGGGATGAGTCCCGCTACCTGTCCATCTCCACCGTGGCCTTGAAACATGGGCAGCTGTGACCCCTCGGCCCCCACTCGCCCTCCCCACCACTCTCTTCCCTCTCTCCTTCCTCTCTCACCGGTGAGTTCATCTAGAAAGGCCCGGCAACACTTGGCATCTCGGGGCAGCAGGACACAGCTGCCTGCCCCAGCAGCCCACTCCAGCCGCAGACTCTGTCCTGCCAGCCCCAGCTCGATGCCGCTCAGGTCGTGCAGGGGAATGGCCAGGACTGGCTGCAGCCAGCTAGCTGGAGGCCCGCTGTAGGGAGGGAGGGCCAGAGCAGTGGCAAAGAGTGAGTGGCGGGACACCCAGCAGGAGCCCTGCCCCGTCCCTGGCGGCCTCCTTGCTCACCATATCTCCCCAGTCACCTTCAACACATAAAGCCTGAGGTCAGACACCACCACAAGACACACAGACTCCCCAGCGTGGCCTGCCAACACCAGTGGCACCTAAGGGGAAGAGGAAGGCAATGAGAAAGAGGGGACAAGGGAGGCAGCTGCCAGGCTGAGCACAGAGTCACTACGGCCGACGCTCCCCACTACTCACACATCTAGCCTCACCCGCCACCCCCCTGTGCCCTGGCCTACAGGCGGGCTCAAGGGGTTTCCCTGCCTGGCATCGCACCCCCTCTGACCTGCCCTCCACACTCAGCCAGACTCCTGGCAGGACTCTGGTAGAACAAAACCAATGGCTGCTCCACTGCCTCCGGGGCTCCTGCGGCCCTTGGGATCAAGTCCAAGCTCCCTGGCAGAAACTTGAGGCTACCCGGGAACAGACCCCTGCCTGCCACTCAGGGTCCCTGCCCCCTCCCAGCCCCACCCCCTGCCACCCCAAAGGCAACAATTTGTCCCCACTAGCTGCCCCTCCTTTAGGACCCTGACACAGGTGCTGCTTCCTTTCCCCACATCACCCCCCATCCCCTGAGAACTCATCCTTCAAGACCTGGATTAGATCTTAGATTGGCTCCCCGAGAAGCGGAGGCCCCATCACTCCAGCTGAATCCGATGCCTCAGCCTGATTCTAGCACTTTCCTAGCTTATGATCATCGGGTTTCTCCACCAAAATATAAGACAGATGGCAAGACTACTTTACTCTAAACCCTAGTGTCTTGCCAATGCCAGGTGCTCGCAAAGGGACTGATAACACCGTGTACTTGTAGTAGTGACAGAAGGCCCCACGTGAGTCAGTTGGTGGGCTGGGCAGCTTCCAGACCCGGGCGCTCACTGATGCTAGCACACTCTATGAGGTAGGCATCGCCATCCCCGAAGCAGAGTGCCAACGACAGGTCACTGTCCAGGACCGTGTCCACAGCCACACTGCGAGTGACCGCAGGAGCTGAAACTGGGCACCTGACCCGGAGCTTTCAGAGCCCCTGTGCACACACCGTCGGCTGTGGGGGACACAGCAGGCACTCTGGCCAGTGAGAACCGCAGGGCAGCGCTGGGCTGGCACAGACCTTGAGGCAGCACTGGAACTCCTCCTGGGCATCGGCGAACACCTCAACATCCAGGAAGAGCCGGAGTCGGTGGTCCACAGAGCGGAGGCCATGGCGCTCAGGGGCTGGGGGCGAGCAGGGGGCCATTAGCCTGCCCAGGCTACCTCCGTGCTCTCCTGCCTCCCTAAACCACCTTGGTCCTGTTTCCCCACTACTCACGGGGACTGAGGCTCCAACTGTGGCGCTCTCGGGAGACTAGCGCCTGCGACGGGGTCCCATCAACCCTGCTGCTGTGGTCACTGTGGTCAGGAGGGTCACAGACAGGGCTGGCCATTTGCAAGGTAGCTGGCGATCGTTCGTCCTGTCTGTGCTCCCTGTCAGTGGTTCCCAGGGACCGAGCCAGGAGAACCACATGATCACTACCACAGTTTGGACACACGGCAGGAGATTCTGGAAGGATGAGCACAGTCCCTGTGAAGCCCCACACACAGCACCACAATCCCCCACTCTGTCATGCTTCCCACCCCCTCTTGGACTCACCTTGGCCGACATCCCCAGTTTCCTAGGCTCCCCACCATTCCCAACAGGCCCCCTCCACTTCCTGGGTAGGCCAGTTCACCAATTGCTCTCCATCCCAGTGAGGGAGGAGGAGACCCAGGGCCCACAGTCACCTCAAACTATACCCCACCTTCTTATTTTAGGCTTTCCCAGAGAGAACCAAACTCAGTCAGACCCTGCTCCAGCCCCTTCCACGGCCTCAGGCTATCATGTGCTCTGAAGCTCTACCAGCCTCGTCTAAAAGCCCCAAATCAACAGATCAGGAAGGCAGAGTGCCAGGTATGGGTCCAATTCCAGGCTCCATCATCTAACGGCTGTCATCTAAGCAATCCCAAGTCACCTAAGCTCTCTGAGCCTGGTTCCTCCTCTATAATAGGGAGCGCAGACAGTGCCTGTCCTATAGGGTCGTCAGGATGGGTGATGGGATCAGGTAAAGAATGCAGGTCAGGGGGGAGCCTGGGTGGCTCAGTGGGTTAAGCCTCTGCCGTTGGCTCAGGTCATGATCCCAGGGTCCTGGGATCGAGCCCCGCATCGGGCTCTCTGATCAGCGGGGAGCCTGCTTCCTCTTCTCTCTCTGCCTGCCTCTCTGCCTGCTTGTGATCTCTGTCTGTCAAATAAATAAATAAAATTAAGGAAGGAAAAAAAAGAATCCAGGTCCGAGATCAGCAGTGAGAGAGGAAACATTCTCTGAGCAGCTGTCGTGGGCATATGCTGGACCCTTTGACAGCGGAATCAAAACTCCCTTGAGGTGCGTAGGAGGCTCAGTGTTTACGCCTCTGCCTTCAACTCAGGTCATGAACCCAGGGTCCTGGGATGAGGCCCTTGCCAGGCTCCACGCTCAGCAGGGAGTCTAGCTGTCCCTCTCCCTCTGCTCCTTTTCCCACTCATGAGCCCGCTGCACTCTCTCAAATAAGTAAACTCTTAAAAAAAAAAAAAAAAAAAAAAAAAAAGAATTGGGTGCCTGGGCGGCTAACCATCTGCCTGCAGCTCAGGTCACGATTCCACTGTCCTGGGACCGAGTCAGCAGGGATGCGGCTTCCCCCTCTGTCTGCCGCTCCCCCTGCTTGTGTTCTCTCTCTCTCTTAAGATAAAACAACAAGAATCCTGACACGCCCTGTCCAAGACCATGCCGCTGAGGCTGGAGCAGCAGCAGCTGCCATTTACACGGAACCTCTGGTTTGTGCCAGACACTGTGCCTGGTGTCTTCCTGTGACATTTAAATCTAACAGCACAGAGGGTGAGTTCACGCTCTTCTTGCTCCAGATAAGGTAACCAAGGCTCAAATAAAAGGAGAACATAGCATACAGCAATGTCCAATAATAATGACCCACTGAAGGGACCCCAGGGGCCATACAACCCTGCATAGTACAAAAAGGTCTCAAAGAGGATGGGGCTGTTTCCACTGCACACATTGTGTTTCTGGACCTCTGGGGAGGTTCAGGGTGGGGGACAGTGAAGGGTCCATTTTCTTAATAAATTTTAAACTCCTGTTCCAGCTGCTGCAAGGAAGACAAAGTGGCTAATAAAAGTCATGCATTTCGGGGCGCCTGGGTGGCTCAGTCGGTTAAACATCTGCCTTCGGCTCAGGTCATGATCCCAGGGTCCTGGGATTGGTCCTGCATCGGGCTCCCTACTTGGCGGAGAGCCTGCTTCTCCCTCTCCCTCTGCCTGCCGCTCCCCCTGCTTATGCTCTCTCTCCCCCTCTCAGTATCTATCTATGGATCGATTGATTGATAGATACATATTTTTTAAAAAGTCATGCATTTCAACACAAATGCTATCAAGGATATCTCTTTTCCTTTTAAAGTCCTTAAAGAAAAAAAAAATTTAAGGTTTTTTAAAATCTGTAAAAAAAAATTCTGACTGATCTGCAGTGGAAAAAATACAGAACAGGGTGTGAAGAGATCCCATGAGGTACCACTTGATCTCAAGTAGCTCACAAGGTCAGTCAAGGCAGGACAACCTCAGCCAACTCACAAAGCACCTTACTCAACAGCCAAACATGCTCAGAGGACAGCACTACACCCAGTACTGCAGTGAGGGTTAAGCAGCTTTTATGGAGTTTCCAAATATTAGCCAAAAAAGCAGAAAAAGCCTGCAAGTTATGAAAAAATAATGAGTATGTTTCAAGAATTACAGAGATTGTATTTCCTGACTTTTAAAGAGAAAAAAAAAGAGGATCTAATTTCTTCTTTTGCTCCTTGTCATTTTTTTTTTAAATGTACCAGACAGTTTTATTTTCCTTCCAGACAGAAGAGTTGGTCCCCACTTCTTCCTTCCCTGGGTTCCCGTTTTATATTCCCTCCCTCAAAGCCAACATCTCTGAAATGGTGGGAGTCCCATGGGCAGGAAGGTCAAGGGCAAGATGTGTACCTGTCTTTTGGACCAGAGGCCTCCAGCCTTCCTCACTGTCTAACAACCTGGGCTCCTCTGGCTTGAACTCATGGCCACAGCGTAGACACTGGAGTCTGTCCCCCAGCAGGTCTCTCACTTCCCCAAGCTCACGCTGAGCCGTGGTGGCTGCTGGGGTCAGCACAGCAAGAAGCTCCTGAAACAGGGTGGGCCAGAAGCAGCTGTGAGCAGTGGACACTGGCCCTCTGCCTTTCAGGCCACCCCCAGTCTCCTGAGCCTCACTCCAGGCCCCGTTACCTGGAGAGCTGCATGGGCATCGGGCTCTAGCACCACATAGCGGCGCAGCTGCCGGTCACGGCAAATGTAGGAGAAACGCAGAACAAGGACAGGGGCCCTGGGGAGCGGATCTGAGCCCTGTGCACAAAGTGGGGAACCAGGTAGAAAAAAGGAGGGAGGGAAAAAATGTTCATCACTAGCCATCGGGGAAATTGAAATCAAAACCACGTTGAGATACCACCTTACACCAGTTAGAATGGCAAAAATTAACAAGGCAGGAAAAAACAAATGTTGGAGAGGATGTGGAGAAAGGGAAACTCTTACACTGTCGGTGGGAATGCAAGTTGGTGTAGCCACTTTGGAAAACAGTGGGGAGATTCCTCAAAAAATTAAAAATAGAGTTACCCTATGACCCAGCAATTGCACTACTGGGCATTTACCCCAAAAATACAGATGTAGTGAAAAGAAGGGCCATATGCACCCCAGTGTTCACAGCAGAAATGTTGACAATGGCCAAACTGTGGAAAGAGCTGAGATGCCGTTCAACAGATGAATGGATAAAGAAGATATGGTCCATATATACAATGAACTATTACGCAGCCGTCAGAAAGGATGAATACCCAACTTTTGTAGCAACATGGACGGGATTGGAAGAGATTATGCTGAGTGAAATAAGTCAAGCAGAGAGAGTCAATTATCATATGGTTTCGCTTACTTGTGGAGCATAAGGAATAACACGGAGGACACTGGAAGAAGGAAAGGAAAAGTGAATTGGGGGAAATCAGAGGGGGAGATGAACCAAGACAGACTGTGGACTCTGAGAAACAAACCGAGGGTTTTGGGGGCGGGGGCGCTGGGTGAGCCTGGTGGCAGGTATGAAGGAGGCCACGGATTGCATGGAGCCCTGGGTGTGGTGCATAAACAATGAACCCTGGAACACTGCGTCAAAAACCAATGAGGTACTGTATGGTGACTAACATAACACAATAAAAACTAAAAAAAAAAAAAAAAAAAAAGAAGAGAAGAAAAAAAAGAGTTAAAAAAAAAAAAAAAGGGGGAGGGAGGAGATGAGAGAGATCTGGAAACCGCAGCTCTGGATGCCTCGGAAACGCTCTTGCTCACACCCACACTAGCTCAGCAGCCCCGCTCCTCAGCCCAGCCTTCCAAACTGTCTGGGACCTCGCCTTCGCCCCCCGCAGCAACCCTGCTCTGCTCCAAGTGCCAGCCAGAGACTATGGGAAACTCACAACCCAGTGCGCGGCACCCAACAGCCGTCTGTCAAGGGGGCTCCAGCGACAACTCCAGCCCCGCTTCCAGGACCCCCAGCGCTGGCACTCACCTCAAGTGCTGCCTCGCTCTCGGGCTCCACCTCGGCTGCCTCTAGGCTCTGGAGCTCCAGCCGAGCCAGGGTCCGGGCGGCTTGGAGCTCCACCTCAAACAGGTGGCCGGAAGTGACCCGGAGAAAGCACTCCCTACCGCGCACGCCCTGGGGCCCCTCCAGGGGACACACCAACATGGGGCGACACAGTTCGGCTGAGGAGAGACCAGGAGAACAACCCTGTAAGAAGGGAGGGGTATCCCTGACTCCGCCCTCCGTGGGGTGGCCCTCCATCCAGAAGGGATCAGCCGCCCCAAGTCTGAGTTTGCCCAGCTCTCCCAGACACACCCACCAGCACCTGCCCCTGGTGCTGAATGAGCGCTCACTGCTTACCTTCCACTTCGCCCTCCTCCTGCTCCTCTTCTTCCTCCTCTCCTTCTTCCTCTTTTCCCTGCTCCTCCACCTCCTCTTCCTCCTGGGGCTCCTGCAGGAGCCTGACCTCTGCCATTCCCTGCGGTGACTCCTTCTCTGGGGGCGGAGGGCCAGGCACAGACCCTGGGCTCAGGGGCAGTGTGCTGAGGGCAGGGGTGCTGGGGGTAGCCAGAACGGGGGTACTGGAGGTCTCCAGGTGATTCCTATACTGCAGCCAGTCACAGCCAAACCGTTCCCGGAAGCTATTCATGAGTTCGAGTTCCCGATGCTGCTGCACAAACCGCCCTGGGCCGGTGGGGGGGTGCACCGCTTAGCGAGCCTGCACCCTCACCACGACCCCCCAACGACCCCAGCCTCTTCTGCAACTGCTCCTTGGGGTGAAGTCAGAGGGCATGTGAGGTGATGGGGGCTGGGGATCAGAGGGAGGCTCAAGGCTTCCCCTCAGCAGCACATCCCAAAGCGTGTCCTCTGGAGCCCCGTGCTCATGAGCAAGTCAGAAGCATGCAGCATATGCTGCTGGGGAGACTCGAGACACACGAGAGTGTGCTGGAGGTCCTGAGATATCCTGCAGAGAGGATGCCTACTAACTCTGGTCAGCCCAGCCTTTCCCATGCACTCTTTTCAGCAAGTGACCTTTCAACATCCCATACAATTCGAGTTCCTGGAAAAACACTTTGGAAAATACCGCCCAGGGTCTCTTTCTTCCTTAAACTAGAAATAAGGAGGAAAGCCTAAGAGACCCTCTGCAACGCTCTGCTCCAGCTCAAACAGAATCCCTCCTACCCGGCAGACTGGGGCAGAAGCTTTAAGACAAGACTAGGGCAGGGCGCCTGGGTGGCTCAGTCCTTAAGTGTCTGCCTTCCACTCAGAACATGATCCTGGGGTCCTAGGATTGAGCCCCCCACATTAAGCTCCCTGCTCACCAGGAAGCCTGCTTCTCCCTCTCCTACTCCCCCTGCTTGTGTTCCCTCTCTTCCTGTATCTCTCTCTGTCAAATACATAAAATCTAAAAAAAAAAAAAGACGAGATTAGGGCAAGGGCAGCTGGGGCCGCCACTGACTTACCAGCCGGGGAGGGGTCCAGAGTTCGGGGCTCTGGGTCGGTATCACTGGGTTCCGAGATGCTTGCTCGCCTCACACGGACTCGGCTCTGAAGGCGGACGCAGGACGGATGCTCTAGGAGAACTGGGCCACCCGCCCCACTGTCTACGGCCACATACCCAACTTTACTCAGAAAGCTCCACCCACAAGCAAGGATGAGGCCTTTCTATTCCCAGCCCATCCACAACCCAGAGCCCCCAAAAAGGGACCTGAGCCCAGGCACAAGGGGGTCCAGGACACTGTTTACCTTAACCTTCCGGGGCAGATGCTGGGCTACCACACCCCCTGAGGAGATGCTGTCACTCAAGTCAGGGCCACCTGAGGTTTCGACAGTACTCCCCGCTGACCAGGGCACAGGTGGGGCAGAGGAGCCAAGCCCCGAGGAGGTAGAGGTCTGGAAAGCGACAACAGGAAGGAGAGCAGGGCTGGAGCCGGAGCTGCACCTCCCCACCGGGCTAGCTGAGGGAGGGGCCCTACTCTGTAGCTGCCCGGAGAGACCCCCACCCTCGCACCCTGTCATGTCCTCCCAAATCAGTCCTGGATGGCCTACTCCCAGTGCTCCCAGCACACTAACCTGCAAGTCGGTCAGTGACAAGACTTTCCCATCAAGAAGGAACTGGGCAAAGATAAAAGGGAAGGGGCCGAGTCGGTGGCTGAGTACCTGCCCGCCCACCCAGGGGGGCCCTCTCTGCCCCACAGGGACCAGCGGGAGGGAGCCGCCGAACAAGCAGGGGGTCCCGGGCTGTGGCCCCTCCCCCAGGGCTGGGGTTGGGGGGGTGAAGGAGGGGGCAGGGGGCAGGACAGGCAGGACAAGGAAGGCAGAGCGGACAGGAGAAGACAGCTCACGCCGGCCGCAGCGTCCCTGGCGCGAGGTGACAAGTACTGGGCAGTGGCCACTCGATGCGCGGGGTGGAACCACAGAGGGTTCCCCTCCAGGTAGAGCTGAAGGGCAGAAGAGGAGACTGAGATGGGCCGTGAGGAAGGGCACTCACCAAATCAGCCTGGGAGGCAGGGAGAGGTCCCAAGCTGGCTCCCGGGTCCCGGAAGGTCCTGGAAGTGCCTGGGACGCACCTTGCGGAGCTCAGCCAGCAGCCACAGAGGCGTCAGCTCCCTGTGGCCTTCCAGCAGGTTGTACGCCACATCCAGGTGCCGCAAGCTCCTCAGCTGCTCCAGGCCTAGGGTGGAGGCGAGCAGGAAGGGCATGGGAGGGGGGCAGTGCTGATGGAGGGTGGAGCAGAAAAACCAGCTGGGGCACCTCTGACCTACCCACAGGCCCACCTGAAGCTCTGGAGGCATGAGGGTCCCAGGCTGAGTCTCACACTGCCCCTCTACCCCTTCACACTCGCCCCACCCTCTCGTACTCCCTGGCACCCCCGCCTCCTTCCCCAAACTACCCACTCACCCTGCAGGCTCCGGAGCTCATTGCCTCGCAGTATCAGGGTCCCCAGAGCAGCACCCGAGGGTCCCATTCTTGGCACCAAATGCAGGTGGTTATAGGAGATGTCCAGATGGTAGAGCTCAGACAAGTCCTGAGAGGGGATGGTGACAAAGATTTTCTTCTTGACCAGACTCGAGCCGGGCTTCTCTAAGCCTTCTTTTCAAGTAGGCCTCAACTTTGGCCTAAAAAGACTACATACTCTCTGCACAAATGAGTTCATCCCATCCTCCAGCCCCCCAAAGTCAACAGAGTTAAACAAATCCTAGAATAGTTCCTAATAGCTCAGGCTCATATCCTTGGGAGGACAACTCCAGCCCCTTACTTTCCCTCCTAGAATAACCCAGGCTTCCAGGAGAATTTAGTTTGTTCCAGCCAACAGCTGAAGACAGAGCCCCTGTCTCCCAGCCTCTGTGGGAAGGTAGGAGGCTAACTCTGGAAAGCGCCAGTTAGCAAACCCAGACGGATTTCATATGGACCAACACCCCCTTCCTGCTTTTTATAAAATTTCCACTTCCTTGACTCCATAGGAAACGGAGTAGTTCCGTGAAGGAGAGAACCTGCTTAAGCCCCTGCCTTCTCACACCCACTCCCTCACTCTGCCTTTAAAACATCCAGCAATCTCTGCACAAATCAAATCTGAGATTCATTCATCCTAAAGTTTATTACAAATTAAAATGGCTTTACTACTGATTACATACCATGATGCCTTATTACTACTGCACTAGCGTGTGACTAAAATCTGTTCTCACCACAGTAACTGCTGTCCAGCCTTGTCTCTGAGAGCGAGACCTGGCAGAAGGTTCCTCACCATCATCCCCAAGCTACCTTCCCTGAGCTAGATGCTGGGCTAAGTAATGTGACACAATCTCCATGACTGCTCTAATACTATAAGAGCAGCTACTCCTAGCTAGGATTCCTGCTTGACAAGTTAAGACGGCCCCAGTTTAGTTTGCCCCAAGTCACACAAGGATTAGGAGTTGAGATTTGAATGTTGGCTTCTCTTATGCTCCTGCCTGAGTCCCCAAGGAGTATGGCTTCCAGGATGTAGCCCCACCTGGGAGAGGGTGAGGGACAGGAGTAAGGTGGGAGCAAAACCAGGTCCAGGAGAGAGGTTCAGAGTGGAATAATCAGAGCCCCAGGTGGGGCCAGCCCCAAGCAGCCTGCTCACACTCACCATCAGGAAGCCCTCGCAGTCCTGGACTTGATTGTGGCTCAGATTCAGGAAGCGCAGAGCTGACAAGAGACGCTGGGGCGGGTGGGGGGAGGGCGGGCAGCAGACAATCAGATACCTCCAGGTAGCCAGCTGGCCCTCCCCGCTAAGGGCCTCCTCTGTCTTTCCCCAAACCCCCTTCCCTCTGAGGCACTCACCAGGGAGCTGTCTAAGGAAGTCAGTGCATTGTAGCTGAAGTTGGCAGACAGCAGAGCCAGCCAAGGCAGGGCAGAGCACAGGTCACCACCACAGGCAGAGAGGAGCTCCTGTGATAGAGTGCTCCATTACCTCCACTATCCTCTCCTCCCCATTCCAAGCCATTGTCCTCCAGCCATTCATTCATTCTTTACATACAAAACTTGGCCTGCAGAGACAGACTGAAAGCAAGCCCAGGGCCCTGCCCCCAGGAGTCTGTTGTGGGGCAAATTGGGAGATGGACTCGAGAATACTGAATATAAGATGGTTAAGTGTGACCATAAACACACAGACAGGTACACACCACACTGGCAGCGCCAAAGAGGGGGCAAGAACACTGTCCAAAGGGACGCAGGAAGCAGAGAAGGCTGCAGAGAAGAGGGAACGGCAGAGTGCGGTCCTCTACGTCCCTAAGAATGGGAATCTGGGCCCAGCCCTCATCCACCTTACCTCCAGGGCCTGGATGCTCCTGCTGCAAATCAGGGTCTCTAGCTGGGAGTAGATGCCACAGAGGCCACGGAGGCAATGAAGAGGGACACCTCGGAGCTGAGGGAGAGGGAGAAAGAGAGGAGAGAGGGAGGGAGACAGACAGAATTTCACAAAAGACAGAGGTTTCACCTCACTTCCTCCTTTTACGGGGAGGGAAAAGATGACAAAGCCAACCACGGTTGAAGGCAGCGTTAAATGAAAGAGAAGATGCGGTGTTACTGCAGAGCAGTAGACACACTCAGGCATGGCCCACCCACCAAAGGGGGACCCTTCTTCCCATTCCCAAAACGTTGTCTCAAACAGGGCTTTGCATGCCGGCATCCCCCAATACTCCATACCTCCAGCTGCCGAAGGGACTTGAAGGGAAAAATCTTGATGGGCCCAGGGAGGGAAGAACCAGGGATGTGGACCAGCTAAAAGAAAAAACCTCATGTCACCGAGGCCACACACCTCCCTTTCCTTGGCCTCTCTACCCTCACACAGCCACGCACAGCTCTCACGCCTTCTTGATCTGGGCCCTGCAGACTTCTTGTGCCCCTGCCCCTCCCCCCCCCAGCTCTTGGGCTCTTCCCACACCCTACACTGTTCCCACTGCAGGACCTTAAGGGAAAGAGTTTTCTGCAGCACATCAAAGAGGAACTGAAGCTGGAGGATGACAGGGGAGTCAGCAGGGTGAGAGGGCAGAGCCACGAAGCCTGTCTGGCCAGGGCCCCATGGCCCCAGATGCAGCTCGAATACATGGTTCAGCTGTTGCAGGGTGGCGGTCAACAAGCTCAGGGTGGAACAGCCGGACAGGACCACGTCGCCTGCAGGGAAGGCGCAGACAATAAGGAGAACATGACAAAGGGATTTTTTTTTTTAAGATTTTATTTATTTATTTGACAGAGATCACAAGTAGGCAGAGAGGCAGGCAGAGAGAGAGGAGGAAACAGACCCCTGCCGAGCAGAGAGCCCGATGCGGGGCTCGATCCCAGGACCCTGGGACCGTGACCTGAGCCGAAGGCAGAGGCTTTAACCCACTGAGCCACCCAGGCACCCCAACAAAGGGGTCTTTCCCTTTATTCTGAGACTCTGTGACCCTGGGATACACCCACTCCAATCCATATTGTAGAGCTCCTACTGCTGGAGTCATTCTCTCTCCTCCCTGCTCAACAGTCTTCCACAGCTCCCCTCCAGCTTCACAAAAATCCTAACTCTTCAGTCTGATGACAGGAGTTTGTGTTTGCTACAGCCAACCAACTCTTTCAAATTTTCTTTCACCATCTGCTCAAGAGAGTCTGGTCTATTCAAGGTGCTGGGAATACAGTCAGCTTGGTTTACAGATTCCTCATTTTCTGACACTTTCCCTTCCACTCTGCCCAGGTTGAAACCTTCCTCCTCTAGACAGGCTTCTCAGTGTGTGACACAGCTGTCCTTTTATACTATAATCACTCACTTTACATAAAAGCTGGTTGGGCGTTTCACTTTTTTTTTTTTTTTTTAGTAAATTCTGCACCTAACGTGGGACTCGAACCCACAACCCCAAGATCAAGACTTGCGTGTTTCACCGCTGAACCAGCCAAGTGTCCCACGTGTTTCATCTTTACTTCTCTGATTGCAAAAGTAATATGCACACTTACAGAAATTTTCTAACCATCTCAAAATGCATGTCATAGAGAAAAGAACCACTTGTTATATAGCACTGAAGCATTATTCACCATCTCCATGTTAAAACTGCTCTCTCTAATAAGACTGTCATCTTTGAGGACATCTTTTGATCACCTTGGTACCAATCACTGCACCTAAGAAGTATAGCTATGAGGTAGACACGGAGAAATATTTTTTTAACTTTTTTTTTTTTTTTAAACAAGGATAGAGTCAAAACGTGTTACAAAACTATTACAGAGAGGTACCCTACATTCTCCATCCAGTTTCCCTCAATGTTTACATTTTATGTAAATAAGACACAATATCAAAGTCAGGAAACTGAAACAGTCTGTACCTATAGTTCTCTGCTACTTGTCTGGCATTGGCGTGGATTCCTATAACCAACATCACAATCAAGATACAAAACTATGCCAGCACCATTAAAATCTCTTGCTACCTCTTATAGTCACACACAAACACACACACACACACAAACACCATCATCCCTAACCCTGGAACACCCGGTCAGATTTGTGCTGAACAAACTGATAAATCCTGAAACCTTACATGAAAGATGTTCAGGTATTAGACACTAAGGCTAGACGCAGACAGGGTTCAAAGACTCTTCTCACCCTCAAAGAGCCTCCTAGTATAGAAGAGATAAAACATGTACACAGTTAATAAAACAAGTCAGAGGGTGAAACTGCTCTAAAGAGAGATTTCACAGGCACCACCAATGCGAGTACAGACAGCGGGCAAGTGGCTAACATTAATCAGGTGGTATGTGGCAGACAACTTTTTTAACCTCATTTAAACTTCATCGGAATCTCCTAAAGAGAGGCACTACTGACCACCCCTTAAAGAGATGGAAACTGGGGCTTGGAGAAGAACACTAACTGAGCTTATATAAATGGCAGTAAGCTGTTACTTCTGTCTGATCTCAAATCAAGGCTTGCTCTACCACAACGAATGTCAACCACACATTGAACAACCAGCGTGGCTCCACCGAGCCCAGGAACTGAAAGAAGAAACTGTAGTAACAATAGCTACCAGTTTTCAGCCCTTACATAGTATGCAAACATTGTCCCAAGCCCTTCACGCGGGTTAAGATTAATCCCCACAACAGTTTGAGTTAAGTACAATCGTTATGCCATATTCCTGCTGTGGAAAACTGAAGCTCAGAAAACTTAAACAACTTTGCCGCGTTTGAAAGAGTTGGGATTCCAAGTGCATCTGACTCCAAATCTCCTGCTTTTAACTCTACTAAGGGCTTTGCCACTAGAGCAATGATTATGCCAGTCCCAGGTCTCCAGAGATTTACAGCCAAGTAAAGATCACTTTCCTCTTAGAGCATCAGAGAACGCGTTGAGGAAGTGGTACTGGAGTTGGGTCTCGAAGGATGGCTAAGGTTTGAAATGTCAAAAACAAAGGACCCTGTAAGCAAGGGCACCAGAGAATAAACTTCAGAGGAGTAAAAAAAAAAAAAAAAAAAATGAATTGACGCCAAAACCCTCGTAACTTTAAACAGCTGTAACTCTATGACTTCTAAGGGGAGGAGTGTCTCTGGAAGGCAGGGCGCACCCCCACCTTGCCGCAGCCCCAGATCAACCGTGTATCCACTCACCGGAATCACGCAGCAGCCCCGCGAGCCTCCACACTAGGGAGTCCCGCTGGGCGGTCGTCATGGCCACGAGACGCTGGGGGCGGAGCCTGGGAAAAGAGGAAGCGGAAGAGCCTCAGGTGGGTTGTGGTACCAAAAGCCCAGGACGTCCGCGCAAACCGAGGACTCGCGGGGAGAAAGAAGTAAGAAACAAGGCGAGGAAGAGCGTCCTCTCAGGTACCCTTTCGAGAAGCGTAAGGCCGGGCCACCTACACTGACCTTCTGTGTGCTCCTCCCACCAGCTCTGCAGTCCGGCATCTATCAATAATGACCAGGAAGTCCCGCCCCGGAAGGAAGTCGGGTAGGCGGGACAACCGGAAAGCACGCCGGAGATGCCGGAAGCCACGGACTCAGTCGTGCTTACGTGTCCGACGGAGGCGGGGACAGATTGGTGCGGACGGGGCGGTCCCTCGGCAGTCGGGCCGGCTGGGGCAGGGACTCCCGCCCGCCATCCCTGCCCCCACCACCCTTGCCCCATTTGTGGGCCTCGCTCAGCGTGGGTCTCCTGCTTGGCTCTCCAGGGCCCCTCCAGGCCTGGGAGGGAAACCTGACTTCTTGTTTTCAGACTGGGCGTGGAAGCACAGTTTGGGGAAATGGAGTTTTCTCTGTGAGGAAAGGACTCGGCCAAAGCGAACGAAGGAGAACGCGTTCGCCATGTGAAGTTTTTTGGTGTCTGCTGAAAGAACTGGGGCTTGCCAAGATACACCTCTGGAGTTACCCTGACACTGTTACCTAATGTCCCTCCAAACTCATTGTTCTTTTTCCTTCGCTAGTGTCAGACTCACACTGTGATTGGTAATATGTCACGTGTATCCAGGCCTTTGCTTTTTGTGTTTCCTTCCATAACCCCTGAATCTAAGAATTGTTAATGCCGGTTTGAAAATGAGAAAGCAGTTTCACAGACGCTGGGTTACCTGCGAAGGTCGTTCAATTAGTAACCAGTTTCGTCAAGACCGCCAGTTTCCTGGCTCCAAGTTCCCATTGTACCTTTCACCTGGCTCCCCGTCAAAAAAAGGATGTCAACTACTGAACTAGATTAGGTAAAGAAAAAGGTAGTTTCTCCTTCCCAGCAGGCCTGGTGGTAGCCCTTTCCCAACCCAGTCCCTGTCCCAAGGGTCAACCCCCGCCCCCATCCTCCCTGCTGCCATCTGTCCAGGTTCTCCCTCCCACTCCTCCAGTGAAATAAAGCCCTCTACCAGGCAAAAAAAAAAAAAAGTCTTTTAGCAGAATTTGATTTTCAAGGAGAGTTTTCGTTTTTTTTAATAAGTTCCTTTTCTACAGAGAAATCAAAATGAATCATATGCCAGTTTAGAGTGCCAATGTAGTTATCTTTATCTCAAATTGCAAAATTGGAAGGATCTTATTTTCTACAGCCAAAATATTTGAAATGGCAATTTATGTCCCTAAACCACACAGTTCAGTGTTTATGGGATACTACGTGATCTGAGCCAAGATGAAGTAAGCGGAAGCACATGGTGACCAGCAAAGCAGTAGGGGCTCAATATATTTTTGTTGAATTATTAATCCCAGAGCAGTGATGATTGTCAGTCCCTGTTTATCAGTCATCTGGAACTAGGAAGGGAGGGTTCTCCCATACCATTTCTGCCAACTCGAACCCTCTTAGGCGAGAAGAGACAGATTGTTTTCAAATTCCTGACGTTGCAAAGCTTTGAAATCCGTGTCAGGAGTCGATCCAGCCCGCAGACGCTGAGAAATGCTCCATTCACATGGATAGACCCTGTAGCCAGATTTGCTCTATATCGTCTTGCTTCCCAGAAATGTGAAGCGGGACAAAGAGAGCAGCAAAGAAAGCTAAAAACTACAGAGGGAGAGGAAAACATCTACTGAAAAGCAACACAGAGAAACTAAGCAGTTCTTGTTTCCAGGCCCCCTCCTGAGGCCCACTCCCCCTTCTGCCCTCAGGCTGCAGAGGAGGCCTTGGCCAGCTTCCAAAGAATTCCCACCACCCCCCCCTTTTTTTTTTTGCCTTAGAGTATATCTCTGTAAATTGCTACCATAGGAAACTTGACTAAGCCAAAACCTTGTTTAAAAAAATTAAAGTCTGAAATGGAAAAACAAAAAACAACAACAACAAAAAATCCCATTGGCTGAAAAAAAAAAAAAAGAGAGTATATACCTGGAACATTTTGAGAAATATATGAAGAAAACCAGAGAACTTTAAAGACATAAACAATGACCTAAGTAAATGAAAAGTCAACATGTTCCTGATGAGAAGATTTGATATTCTAATGATGTCAATTTAATGCAATTTCCATCAAAATCCCGATGTGGAGATTTTGGAACTTAACAAGTTGATTCTGAAATTCCTCTGGAAGACTCACATGAGCACAGCCAGAACATTTTGAGGGTAAAAAAAGAGTAGGAGGCACTAATAGGGTCCTTGCCCCAGCAGTAGCAAAATGTCCTGTAAAGAAAGCAGCAGTAACGGCAGCAGCATGAAACTGACAAAGAGGTAGACAAAAATGGTTAGATCAGTAGAGCACAATACCGAAATAAGCATGATTATGTGGATTTTTTTTTTTGCTATACGTGATAAATTGACTTAATGATAAAAATAATGAGTTGTTCAGTCGTTTGAGGACAATGAGCTGTCCTAAAATAGGAAATACTCAGCTGCACCTTCCAGGCATAGGACTAAAACCTCCCAAAGTTAATTGTGTGAGGAGAGCAGTGAATTGAAAGCAGCTGCCACTGGTAGCACTCATGACACCTTTAATTTCCCTGGGGTAGCCTCTACAAAATGTTTGTGATCAAAGGCGTTAAGGAAAGGCAAGCCGGTTACCAGCTTAGGCGGCAGGGATGCAGCTCTGGAAGGGAGGAAAGAGTCCTCATACGAGGATGACAGAGTCCGAGGCGCCCGGGTGGCTCAGTCGGTTGAGTATCCGACTCTTGATTTCACCTCAGGTTGTGATCTCGGGGTTGAGATCCAGCCCCTCCTCGGGCTCCACGCTAGGCTTGGAGGGAGTCTGCTTGAAATTGTCTCTCTCCTTCTGCTCCCTCCTCCCCTACTGGTGCTCTTTCTCTCCTTCTCCCTTTCTGCTTCTCCCTCTCCCTCTGCCTGCTGCTCCCCCTGCTTGTGCTCTCTTTCTCTCTGCCAAATAAATAAACAAAAAATCTTCAAAAAAAGAGACAAAGTCAGCCACCAAGAGAATACAGACCTCAGAGTCCTGTCCCGCTTGTTTCTGATGCCTTCGGAGCATGCAGACCCCTAGACCATTGTCCACAGGGGAACAGAAATAACAACTCATTGTTAGGACAGGAGCCATCATCTTAGATCTGGACCTCACTTCTGTGGTGCCCCAGCCTCCTGCAGCAGATCCGATGATGGAGACCTAAGGATTCCTCCAAAATGAAAAGTTCACACCTGAAATTGAGTTGTAGGGAGAGTGAAATTGGATGATCTACTTGTTTCGTTAACTAGGTATCTTCATGGAGTGGGGGGATGGGGGGGATGGGGCAAGTGGAAAAGAACGAAGAGGTGTGAATATCACCTGCAAAAACAGAGTTGTGTTAAGGAGTCTGCCCTTGAGCGGCATCCTCATGCCTGGTACAGACAGCACCAGGACCCAGTAGTCAAAGGCAGCAATCTCACTATGTAAGTTTCCACACATTGATTCTCTTGGCTCTGCTACCAGACCTAGCCGCAAAAGACTGCCCAGGAATTGGCCCGCTTACCAGAATCAAACATATGGAACAAATCAGCAGCATTACAGGAGGTCTAGCATGAGAACGCTGCGTTAGACCGTGACCAAGCGAGCCCATCAGAGCCTGGTTCCAGGAGAGACTGAACACAAGGCACACGAAGGGAAAGCCAGAAGGCAAAGCCAGAAGGCAGAAGCCAAACTCAGCTCAGGATGAGAGAAGCCAGGACCTGAGAATGGCTGCCTGAGAAGGCAGCAACAAAATAACAGTATCGCAGTGACCCAGCAACAGCTCAGAAAGCCCAGCCTGGGGAATTTCGCAGTTCTGCAGAAAACGAACTGAGGGAGTCCCTGAGTGGCATTGTAGTAAACCCAAGGTGGCCTGAGAGTGCCTTTAAGTCTTTTCATTGTCTCTCCTGGAAACCGCTGGGATCATATGAGAAGGTTTCAGAAGTGTTGCAAGGAAGATGGGAACCTTGAGGTTAAAGGAAGAGATGAACCAAAAGCTATGCCCCTCATTCAAGCCGCTTGGCAAAGTGCAGAAGCTGGCTGGGGAAAGAGGAAGGGAGGCAGCTGAGAGAAGAGAGGAAAGCAGGCAGGATCCCAGAGAGGAAGAAAACATTCGTTTCAGGCATAACCCCCCAGAAGCCCTGTGGGCAAAATTGGGTACATATGTGACACGTGTCCTCCATCCCAATTCTTGCTGCACACAGGGTTGGAGAGGGGAGGGCCACAGTCCCCAGCAGGGGAGGCAGCTCCAAGTGCATTAGCCTAAGACCTGCGGTGGGGGACGAGGAAAACCAAGAAAAGTGAGATCAAAGGGCTTCGGGTGTCCAGGACCTGGGGAAGGAGAAAGGCAGTGACTGCTTTGCAATCTCAGAGCCTGGGTGGAACGTCAAAGAGTGAGAGCAGCCTTTCCTTCTCTCATTTGTTCCACAAATATTGACTAAGCCCTGACTGTGTCCCAGATCCTGTGCGGGATTCCCAGTAAATAAAGGAGACAACAGTATGGCTCTTGTTCTCCAGAAGCTGGCAGTGAGGTGGAAGGACAGACACCAACAACCACATTTCAACATTGTGTTCACTTCCTATTGTTGCTGTAACAAATTACACCCAACTTAGTTGCTTAAAACAGCCCACATTTGTTATCTTAGAGTTCTCAAGGTCAGCAGTCCAAAATGGATCTCACTGGGCTAGAATAACGGTGTGGGCGGGTCTGCTTTCTTTTTTGCAGATTCTAGGCCAGAAATCTGTTTCTTGTCTTTTCCAGCTTAAAGGGGCTGCCCACTTCCTTGGCCCCCTTCTATCTTCACCGCCAGTGGTGGCCGGTTGGGTTTTTCATCACATCAGTCCCTCTGACACTAACTCTTCTTCCTCCCTCTTCCACATTTAAAGACCCTTGTGATTATGTTGGATAATCCAGGACAATCTCCATATTGTAAGGTCGAGCTGTTTGGCAACTGTAACCGCATCTGGATTCTTAATTCTCCCTTGGTATCTAGCATAACATTCACACAGCTTCCAGGGATTAGGACACTGACCTCCTGGAGGAAGGGACGAGGCCATTATTCTGCCTACCATCGACATTGGTATTATGGTGGAGAGAGGCCTATGGGAGATGGTTCCAGTCCCAGATTACAGACGGAATACAAGCTGCAG